AAATGTACATTTCTCATCAATAAAATATCACAGTATCTTTTTTATAATTTAATTTTAATATTGAGATTGTTTTTATTCAGTGGAAAAAAAAATGTGTAGTTGGTCCCTATTAATTATACATACATATAAGAGTGTCGCACAAATAATTCTATGCAGTCTTTTTAAGATAATATAAAAATACTTATAAATATAATCAATTAAAATACATATAATCAAAATTGTATGTATTAAAATTCAATAGCATATAAAAAAGATTTTTTAAAATTATATATATATAATAAAAATCCAACATTTTATATATATATATATATATATATATATATATATATTTATTTATTGTATATCATAAATATATATTTATTTATTTATATTTACCTATCTTTTTTTATATATATGGTAGAAATACAATGTATGAGTTATTTTATTTTGCAAAATTTTTGAAAGTTAAACTGTACAATGAAATTATTTCATATAATACCGAGATTCTTTTCATAATAAAGATTAAGAGAGAGTTAGATTTTATCATAAGATTTATAAAAGTCATAAGATAAGGTTAATTGCATATTGTATAGTTTATCTCTCATTTTTTAAAGTAAATAAATATCAAAGTTACATTGCTTGAACTGGTGCGTTTGAAGTATGTTGTCTTTTTGAGGGATGCAAGACAATATAGTACAAAAGCATTGCTGTAATTCCCAAGAAAAAGGAAATGATACAAATAATATACAAATAATAAAGATTATATTAAAGTACTAAGCCTCTTTAATTGCAGGAGGACAAGCATATTGCCATAATAAATTTGCTGCAATATTTTCAAAAAAGCAGATAACATAGAAAGATAGATGTTTTCAAAATGTTTTGCTATCTACAGCATTGAGATATATAAAAATGTGCACTATGCCAATAACGGAAGCAAATAATATGGAATAAATGCGTTCTTTAATTGTAGGCTGCATATGTGGTGGATGACTGCAAGTCCGACAAAATTCCAATATTCCATGGGAATCTATCAAAATCCATATTGTCATACTTAGCCAATGTATTACACAATATATTATGGTATATACAGGCCAGATGCTTGCAATGACACTGAGCAATAAAATCCTTGCCACTACAATCACAATGATAAAAATGATTAAATAAATTTAAAATAAATTTTTAAAAATATATTATTTTGATACAAATTGTGTGATGAATAATATTTAATTTTGTATATTAATTATTGGATATATATGTACCTAAAATAAGAAAATGCCAGAAAAATTGAATTTGCTTATTTATTTAAAGATGCTTATCATATACAAAAATGAATGATATAATCTCTAAAAACTCACCTTTAAAAAAAGGTAAAAAAAGGCGACCAGTTAAGGGCACGCCATTAACAAAAATTATCCATTGCAAACCCATGTACAATAGAATTGTATGAAAAATTATCGATTATAAACCCATGTACAATCGTAACAAAAGTAATGAAATAAAAAAAAAATTGCGCCAAGTGAAAGTAGAAACTTGTACCAGTGGAAAATTAAAGTTGCAGACATATATAGAGTCGTATAATGAATCAATAAAAATTTAAATTTGCAAATGTAGAATTGTACCATAAAAAAACTTATCTTTTAAAAAAAAAGATAAACAAGATGCCAAGTCCATGCGCCATGTGAAAAAGTGTTAAACAAAAAAGTATTTTTAAGTAAAAAAATCTATCAATTGACAAAAATTTATGTTCTAAAATTAATATCTCTACAAAAAGTAATGTCCAATTATTGCGCGAATAAATAAACATTTTTATAAAAAATTAAAATTTAAAAACTTATGCAAATTTAAAATTAATATAAAATAAAAAGAAATAAAAAAATTTTAGTTAAAAAAACTGGGCGCGCTGCAATGAGTTTAAAAGTAACAATTTAATTTTAATATCATTAGAATATTATTTAGCAGCGCGCCCAGTTTTTTTAACTAAAATTTTTTTATTTCTTTTTATTTTATATTAATTTTAAATTTGCATAAATTTTTAAATTTTAATTTTTATAAAAATGTTTATTTATTCGCGCAATAATTGGACATTACTTTTTGTAGAGATATTAATTTTAGAACATAAATTTTTGTCAATTGATAGATTTTTTTACTTAAAAATACTTTTTTGTTTAACACTTTTTCACATGGCGCATGGACTTGGCATCTTGTTTATCTTTTTTTTAAAGGTAATTTTTTTTATGGTACAATTCTACATTTGCAAATTTAAATTTTTATTGATTCATTATACGACTCTATATATGTCTGCAACTTTAATTTTCCACTGGTACAAGTTTCTACTTTTACTTGGCGCAATTTTTTTTTTATTTCATTACTTTTGTTACGATTGTACATGGGTTTATAATCGATAATTTTTCATACAATTCTATTGTACATGGGTTTGCAATGGATAATTTTTGTTAATGGCGTGCCCTTAACTGGTCGCCTTTTTTTACCTTTTTTTAAAGGTGAGTTTTTAGAGATTATATACCTAACATCATGGATCATGGAGCGACATACTATCGCCGTCTGTTGTAAAACGTGCGAGATGGACATTTCCAATACATGCATCTATTCATGTGTTGTGTACGAGTGATATATGTATGTGTGCGCATGTGTTGTATACGTGTGAATACGTGTAGCACGATACTGCTATGTTTGCGTGGTCGATGATGAAGGGGACACGTTTCTTAAAAGAAATTTTTCATATTTCGACTTTGCAATTATATATCTCTGCTTACAAATCACGTAGAGCAGAAATAAAGACACTTTTATTATATAATTCAAACTCAATCTATCGATTAAGTCTAGTATAAACTCGATTGCTTCAGCCGTTATTGAGAATTTGAAATATTATAAAGACTCAAATGTCCGACTCGCGTTAAGATACACGGTGTCTCGGCTACGCCCTCAACTGGTCGCGAGACACTACCGTGTCTCTTGATATAACGTTGGCATCAATGTCACCCCTCTGTATCGTCGAAAAAAAATCTAAAAATAATTTTGGAGCTTCAACTTTTAACGCATTATTGGTTGTAAAACCTTATTCTGGAAAATATTAATTTGTGCAACCGGCGCGCGAACAGTCGCTCTTTACGCACATGATGGGATTTTAGAAAGGGCTCCCTCTCACGAACATCATGCGGATTGTCACACTCGGCCGATTTACGATCCCCCGGCACTTGTTAGCTAATATTCTATTCAAAATTCGGTTAAAAAATTTTTAGGTTATGCGCTCCTTATTTTTTTAAATAATGTAATTTATCTTGTCTTAATTATAATATGTTTTCAAGGAAAAAGTCGAAAGATACAATCGAATAAAAATATATATAATTATATATACATGTGTAAAAAATACACATATATCTATAAGTCTATAATATATACGTATTTATATGTTTTTTTCCTCTTATATAATCTCTATTCAATCTTATATAGGAAAAATATACGAATTATTTTGCATCGTTTTATACACGAAATTAAAAATTAATAAAAATTTTTAATTTTAACGACATATAATTTCTATGTAATCATACCGTGCGTGGCGTACTTATATAGCGGCCCGAGTGCTTTTGATTCACGGGCGAGCGAACTCGACGTGCACCGCGTAGCGGCGGCGCCCGTAACTAACGGGACGGCCGCTAACCGGGTGCTTTATTGGCGCATTAACTATAATTATTAGATTGCACCAATTTTATCATTGCGTAAAATAAACAATAAATCTCTATTTGTAAAACAAATATTTATATTCTGCGTCATTATTCCGAAATAATAAAAATATATCAAAGTGTCAAATTTTAATTACTAGACAAGACAACGCGCGCTTCGCGCGCGTCATTGGTATTGTTTTTCTTTTTATTGTATAACTGTCAAATTGTTAATTTTCACGATGACAGTTGCTTGATAGTTTAACAACAAAACGACTCGAGATAAACAATCAGCACCGCAGAAAAGCAATAACAATATGCGAGAATGTCCTTTTTAAAAAGGAACATAATTTTAATTTCCGAATTACTATTATGTATTACATAATTTTAATTCGTCGAATTTTTATTATGTGCATAATTTTAATTCGCCGAATTAATATTACGATCATCTGTTATGTATATATAAATTTAATTCGCCGAATTTCTATTATATACATAATATAAATTCACCAAATTTCCATTATATACCTATATAATATTTTAATTCGCCAAATTTCTATTATGTACATAATTTTAGTTACCGAATTTCTATTATATGTATTGTATATGTACATAATTTTAATTTTTCTATTATATCCCTATAAGCGCATGATATTATTTAATATTTAAACAATATTCTAGGCGTATTTTTAGAATATATTTAATATTCTAAGAATATGCTCAATATATTAAATAATATGTGCTTATAGGGATGTACCATATATACATAATTATAAATCATCGAATCATGGACATAATTTTAATTCATCGAATTTCTATTACGTACATAATATTAATTCTCCGAATTTCTATTATGAACATTATTTTAATTCATCGGAGTTCTAGTATGTACATAAATTTAATTCACCGAATTCATATTACGAACATAATAAAAATTTACCGAATTTCCATTATGTATATATGTATAATCCTAGATAGCACAGCTATTCGAAAAGAATTCATTTGTATGTCACCTTGTATGTCACCAATTTCGAGTCCTTTTTCAAATACGTATAGAATTTATTTTGTAAAATTTTAATATATATATATATATATATATATATATATATATATACATATATATATACGTAATAGAAATTCGATGAATTAAAATCATGCATGTACATGATAGAAATTCGGGAATTAGTATTACATACGTAATAGAAATACGGTGAATTAAAATTATGTATGATATAAAAATTCGGCAAATTAAAATTATCTATATGTATAGAGAGTGAGCAGGTTATAAAAACAATCATTTAAATTACACAAATATTAATTTCTATATAATTTTATTGTTATGTAAATTATTGAAGCTTATTAGATGTAACTTTGCATAGAATTATGTGTGTTTTTTTGTAGAGCAATGTACAAATTAAGATATATAGTTTCTGTTAAAAAATAATTACACAATAGAAATATCGGAACAAGATTTAAAAGTTTCTTGAGGTCCGCAGCCTTGATTGTGTGTACCATCTTTACATTTGCCCCAATTATTTCCAGCAACATATTCCCATCTAAAAATTAAATAAATGTAGAATAAAGACTTTTCATATATATACAATATTTTATATATAAAAAATTGTAAAATAATTTACTTTTCAGCATTTTTATATAATTAATTACAAAAATAATCACATTAATTTGACATTCGTGATTTTTACCACTGAACTTAAAACAGTTCTTTAATATTTTTCTAAGAGTATATCATATATATATATATACATATGTGTGTGTGCATTTATGCGTGTGTGCGTGCGTGCGTGCATGTGTGTGTGTGTGTGTGTGTGTGTGTGTGTATGTATGTATATTTTTTGTTATTATCTCAAAATCTGGACAAAAAAATACATTTGATATAAATCAATTTATAATTCTAATATTTTACAGATATTTAACATATTTTTTGTAAAATTATTATAAATCTTCTCACACAGGCAGAATTTCAACTGTAATAACGACTTTTAATTATTTTAAATATTAAAAACGTGTATTCGCTCATCTATTGATTAAAACAAAATTTAGTATATAAGAAGGCCAACTAATCGAGCATTATTAGATGATATAAACTAAGTATTTATTGGACATTTGAAAATGAGAGGTCATGTTACGTTGGTACGGTCTAGTTGGGAAGCGACAAACATTACAAGTAAGTGCACAGATCACGTAAGACCAATTTTTATATTTTGACACATTATTAATTTATTATATCTCACTACTCATAGTGCGTTATGACAACAATAATTTCTCGCATACTAACAATGAAATCTATTGGCTAAACATCTCAATAGAGCGATCAATCCGTAAGAAATATACTGACATTTTGTAATTTGACTCAACACGACATGCACTAATTCGGCGATAAAATTGCGACTTACAATCACTCATGATCATCTACTTTTAATTCCTATACTGAAGACCGCGTGCGGTCGCAACGTTTGTACTGTATTATCTTATATAGAATATAAATACTTAGTTTATATCATCTAATAATGCTCGATTAGTTGGCCTTTTATATACTAAATTTTGTTTTAATTATTTTGTTAATACTATTTGTGAACTTCCCAGATAGCCAATGCAGTGAGTTTGCTGTCATGTTGCTAGCGTTAAAGCAACTAATTTTAAAAAACTTAGAACAAAGTTAGATAGCATTATAATATGTTTGTCGGGTTGTGTGGGGGGGGGGGGGCTCACTTGAATTTTAATTTCAATAACGGCAAATTGATTACAACGTGTCAGCATCAATTTGCTATTTGTAACGAAGTAATTTGCTACTTTTTGTAATTTGTATTATTATATACGTATTGTTGCCGTCCTGTTTGCATTATGATGCTCAAGCGCTAGAATGACGAATCATTTATTGCTGACATGTTGCAGACAACATAACGTATATTCCCAGTGAGAAATCACTAGTTAAAAAGATGTTGATTCGACGTCTTTTTAACTAGTGATTTAATTCTCACTGGATTAGTATTTGCAAACTGTTTGCTCTTAAAATTTTGTAATCTGATTGCATTTTTATAAGCAGTCATGTAACTGCATTCGTAATGTGTTTTACTTCGATGTCAGCAAATGTAGAGCAAATATGTAACAACATGCAATGGATTTAGTTTGCTCAATATGCTATATCACACGCTTGGTTATCTGGATTTATTCATTCATGCTATGAAAATAGAGAAAATAGTTGTTTTGTAATGTAACAATAATTGTATATGCGATTTCAAAAAAGATGTATGATTAGTAAAAAAATATATGTAGATTCGCAATTAAAAGCTAGTTGGTCGAAAATTAGCATTTTTTCGAGTGAAATAATTTTCTCCTGAAATCTAAAATATCTTTACCATTTTGATAATGTATTAAGTTATATACAGGGTGTAACTAAACAAAGGTATATACAAAGCACATTATCAGGTGCAGAACAATAAACTAAATCAAAAAGTCCTGAACCATTTTTTAATCTGAACTTTATTTTTGACGCTATAAATTGTTAAAATTTGCCAATTAGCGCGTGACTGTCACAGAAAACAGCGTAGGCGCCATCTTAGTAGGCGTTCCGTTGTAGCCACGCGCGCTAATTGGCAAACTTTAACAATTTATAGCGTCAAAAATAAAACTCAGATTAAAAAATGGCTCAGGACTTTTCAATTTAGTTTTCCGTTCTGCACCTGATGGTGTCCCAGATAGCACAGCGAATTCAAAAAGAATTTATTTGTATGTCACCAATTTTGAGTCCCTTTTCAAATACAAATAGAATTTATTTTATAAAATAATTTTATAAAATAAATTCTAATATGTATTTTAAAAGGTACTCAAAATTGGTGACATACAAATAAATTCTTTTTGAATTCGCTGTGCTATCAAAATTGGTGACATAAAAATGAATTCTTTTTGAATTCGCTATACTATCTGGGGTGCTTCGTATATCTTTGTACGTATACGTTTGTTTAGTTACACCCTGTATATTAAGTTACATATACATTAACTACATATAATTCGTACCTGAGAACACAGTGCTGACAAGTAAGATCTTTGGGCAAATAGGCATACATTGTATAATCGCCGGTGTTGGAACTGTTTAATACATATCTATCGGTACCATCTTCCATTTTCAGAGGATACTTAGCGAAACACTCTTCAGTTTCCAGTTCTTTTCCGTGATTCAGTGGGCAAACAGAATACCGAACGAAACCTCTATGGTTCGCGGTAATTCTAGTCACTAATTCAATCAATTGTCCTTGTTTGTAGCTGAAAACATACTTATATAGAGTGACTCATTTTAATCTTCCTTAGCAAATATTTTGAAAACTATAAGAAATACGAAAAAATGTTTCAAACAAAAGTATTTTTACTTCAAGGGAGACATAAGATGGTGTCATTATATAATTTGACCTTGTATAATCATTTGAAGGTCATGTAAAAGTCAACTTCAATTTCTTAAACAAAACTTTACTATTTTTTACTGCATATTCTTGTAGCTTTTTTCGAGAGCTTTTCTTTTTAATACTTTTGTTTAAAACACTATAATAACATTTTTTTAATAAGTACTTTTTGAGTTATTAAAGTTTGAAGTTTACAATTTTTTGGCATAAAAAATGTAAAATATCTTGTAAAATATTCCATTTTCGATAATCATATCTTAATACTTATTTTATGTACGAAATAAAATGATATGAGGCCAATCAATTGGTGTAAAGAAAACACATAACTTTAAAAAAAATTCACAGTTAAATTGTTGTAAATTACATACTTTATGTGAATAATAATTATTATTATTTAAATAATTTAAGACTTGATTATAAATTTTTATATATCCTCATTTTAATCTGTTTAATTTTTCTTTCTCTATTTGTTCCTTTTCTTAGGATTTTTATTTTTCTTTGAATAATATTATTTTTTAAATAAACTTACGTTTTTACAATAGTACCAGTTCCATATTTCCCACCATTTTCATTGGCTCTGGGTGGTGGCAGTCTGTAATCATCGCCACAAAGACCGCATTTGCCACCGTTATCTATATGCACCTATATAAGTTAACAATTCAATTAAATCAGTCAGAAGCTTCATCAGTTAAAAATAATTTTCATTGTAATAAGTAATTGAGGATACAAAATAAATGGATATATTTATTTTTATGGATATTTTCATTTATTTTTGCTTTATGATACAAAAAAAGCGAATACAAGAAAAAATCAAGGACAAAATCAAAAACAAATATTCGGACAAAAATTTATTTTATGTATAAAGTTATAAAAGAAAATTTTTCGTGAAAAAATTTATACTGACAATGAGTAGAAAACTTTTGATATTTTTGAAAGTTATTCAAAATTAAAATTTTTGAACTGAAAAATCATATTTTCTTTGAAATTTTATTTTTAAAATCTGTATTTTTACTAAATTGTTATTATAAATTAGAGAATTTATTGTTTACTTTATATATAGTTTCCTTATTTTAGTTATTTATATAAACGAGTCTGGAAAATCTACGTTTAATATTTTCTAGAGAAGTTTTACTTTTGTTTTTACTCGATAAATTAATTATTACTATACATTTATTATTTTTTTCTTCCATTCTTTCTCCCTTATTTTGTCCTCTCAGCAAAAGATTTAGACGAATGAAAGAAAATATACATTTCAGCACGGTAGTTTTATTTATCGTATAACTTCTATCAAAATTTTCAATCCATTGTAAATTATAGACCATTTAGATTAATTTCATTAAAATTTTAGTATGAAAATTTTAGCATAGAAATTTATTGAAATTTCGACCTAACTGGCCAGTACAATTTAATTAGAAACACTACGTTTCGACCCTTAGGTACGGGTCCTTTTCAAGTGTAACTGCACAATAAAAATATACAATGATTAAGATATGAAACAATAATTTACAAAGTTGTTAACGAAAAAATTTAAAATAATATAAAAATAATGTAATGTACCTTTCAAGATGTTGATTCGACAGCAGTAAAATTACTAATGTTAAACCGGAAGAGAGAGACAAGTAAATCAATTTAAGTCAAACGTTAAAAAGCACAATAATATCAAAATTCGACAATACAACGAAATAAATAAATAAATAAATAGACAATCGTATACTGTGGATCAACTTATCATAAATCGGATTTAGATTTTCTGTGTCCTTTTGCAAATTAATGTTATTTTTATATTTTTTAATAAAAAACATCTCCGCTAATTCTCTCTTTCTTCTATGTTTTTCGCAATGCAAAATCCTAGGTTCCATCCATTTAAAATAATGGTCATATTTTATTCGATGTTTGCTAATTACGTTAAAATTGCTATGATGTTGTTTAATATTTCTACAATGATCGTTTACGCGTGTAGCTAATTGTCTTTTTGTTTGCCCTGTATATGTTGCATTGCAATTGTTACATTCTATCAGATACACAACGTCAGTTTTTTTTCATATAGTTGATCTTATCTTTACCTCTCTTGATTAATCTATTTAATTTTTTCGGGATAATATAAACAATGTCGAGGCCACATTTTTTTAACGCAATACTCAGATTTTCGCTCAAGTTTTTTATATAAGGTATCGGTAACAATAATCTCGTATTAAACTTTTTACATCCATTGTCATTAACCATCAAATATTCTCTACGGTGTTTTAGAGTTTTCATTCTCTTCTCAATATGTAGTTCAATGAAAGGTTTCGGGAAGCAATTGTTAACCAAAATATCCGTAATAATTCTGATGTTATCAGTGTGAAAGCATTCATTTGAGAGTAATAAAGCTCTGTCGACTAAACTTCTAATCGTGTTGATTTTATACTGAAGGGGGTGGTTTGAAAGGAAATTTAGATATCTGCCAGAAAAAGTGGGTTTTCTGTACCAATTGGTCAACAATGTCCCCTCCGCTTTTACAACAGTAATGTCCAGGAAATTTATAGAACCGTTGACTTCAACCTCATGCGTGAACATTAGGCGTTCGTGGTAACTATTAAACATCGTTAATATCTCATCAATTTTTGTTTTAGATGCTATTGCAAAAATGTCGTCAACGTGTGTGTATCTGTAAAAGACCGGTATATAGTTTAACTTGCTTAAACATTGTGTTTCAAGCTCGTCCATGACCAAGTCAGCCAATATTGGTGATAAGGGTGACCCCATCGGGCAGCCGAAAATTTGTTCGTAGTATTTTCCACCAAATTCGAAGCTCGTTAGATCAAGGACAACCGAGAGTGCATGTAAAAACTGGGGCAATGTCAAGTCAGTATTTTGCGTAATATACGTCCATCTCTTTTTCACCGCTGTTAAAGCTAAATCTTTAGGGATGTTCATAAATAACGATGAAACATCCAATGAAAATAAAAACTGGTCGTCATTGAACTTCGTGTGTCTAATAGCTTTAACAAACGTCCAACTATCCTTGACATACGATTTAGGCTTAGGAATTGAATTTGACAAAATTTCCCGTAGATATTGCGCTACATTATACGTGGGGCTACCTACAGAAGAGACAATAATGCGTAAAGGATAGCTCTTCTTGTGCACTTTTGGTAATCCTTAACACCTTGGAAGATATTTTTATGGTGCAATTACACTTAAAAAGGACCCGTACCTATAAGGGTCGAAACGTAGTGTTTCTAATTAAATTGTACTGGCCAGTTAGGTCGAAATTTCAATAAATTTGTATGGTTTTACTCATCACTGCTGGCGACTTCATTAATTTTATCGTTATGAAAATTTTAGCTTTCGAGTATTTTTATTAATTTTGCACAATATCTTATTAAATTATTTACTATTTTCTTATTAATAAAACAAAAGAATTTAAAAAAAATTAAAACAGCCATTTTATTTAAAAGGCATTAAAAAGATATATTAAATATTAAAACAAAGTAAAATAAAAATTTTTCCGACGTAAAGGTGTGTATATTTTAATAGTTTTCTTAATTGAGGCTATACAATAATTTTCAATATTTTTCGTCTAAAGAAATGCACACTTACAAATAAACCTCCGCAATAGTTTCCGTCATCGTCATAGTTGACGGGTGTTTTGAATCCTTTTCTCCACGCACTTCCTCTATTCACGGGTTCCATAAGCATCCCATGTCCATGGATCTCTTCAAGGTAAAAGATTCCAAGAATGAAGATGACCGCTAATTTAACGTACATCATAATGATGAAATATTTTCAATATGTACAACTGCTTTAACAATGTACTACTGTATTAATGGACACCATTAAATGTAACTTCGACAAAAATTACTCACTTTTTATAGGATTGCAAAAGAGATAAGAATTTCAATTTGACGCGATCAATAATGAGATAAGCAATATTTCAAAGAAATCATATGTGACGAACCCATTCACTTGGAAGCATTAGACTTTTACGCTTCGTTTATCAATGTTTACGTTTATGAATATATAAATGAATATGTTTTATTATTAATATTTTTAAGTATTAATATTTTTATATACAAAATAAAATAACATGTCAAAATTTTCCAAAAAAATTATTTAACGTTGCGAATATCGAATTGCATTTTATACAGTGTCCCGAAGAGTCGCGGGACGACAAAATATTTCGAAAAATATTATTAAAAAATTTTGAAACAAAAGCTGTAAAGTTTACAAAGATCTATTTATTAGCCTTATCAGTTTGACCTTCAGTAGCGTTTTTTAAGATTATTTCAAGATCAACTCGATTTTTTTAATGGAATTATACTATCCTAAGTTGTAAATAGATTCCTTGTAATATTTTGCATACAAAATTATAAGATGAGTAAAATAACAAAAAATTGAATAGTTTACGATAAACAAAATAAAAATACGGATATATTTTTATATCCTTTTTATAATTTACATTTTTTTGTACAACTGTGTTTACATAAGCGGCTTTAAATATAAAATATTATATGGAAGTTATCTAAATAAATCGCCATATAATTTTAACTTTTATTTAGATTTATTTATTACAAAATCATCTTTATCTTATCTAATATATGAATTTTTATCTCATCTTTATAGCTATCTAATTTTAAAATTATTTAAGCATTATATCATTTAACACTGTTTACTTCATATTCTATATTTTATTCTGACATATTTTGATATAAAATACAAAATATCTCGTAGAAAATTTAAATTTAAAATTAATAAAATTTAAAAGAAGAGGATTCAAAAAGGGTCGGTGAAATATAAAGCAAAATGGATGTTAAGTAAATATCTTATTAATTTTACTATCAGCAGTAATTGAAATATTACAAAAATGTAATTATTAATTTTATTCCACGACACTAATATACATGTATAATAAAATAGGATTAAGGCCAGATTAAGAATAGGAATAAGAATACATCGTTACAAAATTTAATTCACAATTTAAGTTTCTCGAAGTTTTACTTGAATTTGTTTTCATATTTTTTGTAAATAAATGTACAGACACATCTTATTCGAGAATTTTATTTTCTATTATCAAGTTTGTAAAGAAAATATAACGTAAGTTATATTTTACATTTATAGTTTTTTATTATATATTAAATATTTTTTTAATTATTAAGAAACACATTCTTTTAGATAAAGAATGTCAGTATATACACATATATCATATAAATTATAAAATTTTTTAAATTAAACATTCAACTAATATGAATGCATCTTCGCTTTCGAACATACTTCAACAAATCAACTTATATAATAGGTATTGAATCCATATATATATTAGAGATGTGCGAATCAAGATTTTCTAATTCGAATCGAATCGAATTTGCAAAAAAAACAACTCGAATCGAATCGAATCGACAAAAATATCGCCGAATCGAATCACCTATATTTCGAATTCGAATCGAATCAACGCGTATAGAATTAAACGGATTTTAAATCTTCTTACGCGGTTCTTTGATTCGAATTCGAATTGCAGTGATTCGACGTTATCGAATCTTTCGATTTCGAACTACGTCGATTCGAATTCGAATAATTCGCACATCTCTAATATATATTAAAATTATATATAAAATCTAAAGCATAGTTCTAAAAATAAAGTGAAAATGTCTTTATACAATGTGCGTGATATTTCTACAATAACATTAAAATAATTAAATGCAAATTTTTTTTCCAAAATTCTATTAAAATTCTTGATACTAAACTCTTTTAACAATAACAAATATGTATGTAAGCACACGCGCATATGAATAAATGAATGAGTGAGATAATTCCTATGTATAAAAGAGATTTCTATGTAAAAAAAAAAGAGTATTTAATTATTAAGAAATTACCATTCTAAAAATTAGAGAGGCAAAAGTCTATATGTCTACTTAACAAAATATATAAGTATTACTTTAATATACATTTTATATGTAAAAAGTTGTGTAAATAAGTATTGTTTTGTGACACTTTCTTGAAGATAATAATTTTAATACTAACATATATAGTAATAAAATAATTAAATTTGTAGTATAATTATTTTTTCTCATTACTTAGCATAATTTCTTGATATTATTACTTTTATCGAAAAAGTAATTTTAAGCAATAAAATATGAATTAAAGCAATATTTTTATACAACTTTTTAGATAAATAAATTACATATTAAAACAACATTTCTTTACAAAATTTCTGCTTTAAGAGGTTTTTTGAAAATTTTGAATTTTCTGCGAAAATATAGCAGACATTATAAAATTATAAAATAAGACTAATTATTACTCTTTTTTTTTACAATAACCACTTTTTACAAATATTTAATTTCTTTAACGACAGTTGAAATATTTTTATATCAGTAATTTGAAAATCTGCCATTAAAATACGAAATTAATGCAGCCTTTTGAATTATTTAAAAAATTTTTTGTAATTTTCGAATTTTTCAAAAATTTTTTAACAATTATAGTATTATAAATATATTAATTATATTATATATATAAATATATATAATTATATTGTCAAAAATTATTATGTCTATCATTATAATCATAATTACGACACATTTTGTTCCACATCGATCAATATAGACTGCCGTTTTTTTATTTATGATTTTGATCGTTGCTAACAGAGAAATATTCTTATGTAAAAATTATCAATTCTGTTGAACAAATATTGATTTAATAATGGCAGTCAAGCATTAAGACACCTGTGCCATTATTGACATATTATTTGTAACGTATCTTATTGTACAAAATAAATATGAATTTTATATACATAAGATGTAACATTAAAGCAATAATGTTTCACAGAAATATCTTTTCATTTAAACATGGCATCTAAGAATTTTCAGCGTGCGTTTTCTCGCAATATCTCTTCAAGGAAGCATTTGCGAACAAACTTCCAAATAAAATAGTTGTTCATTTTGAGATTATCCTAAATTCGTATTTTAAGTTTGACTATTTAACCTGGAAACACCCTGTATATCTATAAAAGGTACAATTTTTTAAAAAAATTCAAAGATTACAAAAATTAATAAAAAAAAATCAATTTGAAAGACTGTTAATTAATTTCATGTTCTAATAGCAGATTTTTTTAAATGATCAATAGAAATTTTCTTTCGATCCAAATATTCGCACACACTCTCGCACTATTTTTCATCTTTAAATTCATAATTATTTTACTATTTCTGAATAATTTCATTTGGCGATTGCAATATCCACAGCGGATCTTCTTCCTGTTTCCTCCTCTCCTTTCTTCTCTGGCCGCGATTTTTCACTCGATTGGGACTCCAATTGACCACCTTATCGGTGATTGGTTGCATTTTGGTCGATGTCGATAAGACATTACTATATTGCATTAAATGTATCGGTACACTTTGGCTCAGTTCTTGCTCCTCATAATCACTCGGAAAAATATATTGCGAATGGTAATACTGTTTCAGGGTTGACTCGTCACGAAAACTCTGCATCGCACACCACACGTGGCACAATAAGCATGGGAATCTCGTCAGCCAATATTCTGTAAACTTTTCAGGAATCTCGCCCAGACTCCTCTGCGCTTCCGGAGTTAGTTCTCTGTAGTGATGTTTCTATAAAAACGCAGCAACATTGTAACATTAACAATAATAATTAGGATATTGCTAAGAAACATTATACAGCATGAGGAAAAAATATGAGACTGATAAAGTATCTCGGAAGAAGTGCCCAGGTACATAGCCACAGTAATTATTATGACATCATTTTGATGGCAAATGATGCATTTTGACATCAAAATGATGTCATAATAATTACTGTGGCTATCTGGGTGGAATATAGAAAAAAATGTTAAATACAAAAGAAGTAGAATTCAAGGTGCAGCACTTGATGATGATCTTGATTTTGACCTAGAAAGAAAATTAAGGGTTATTTCAAGGTCATTTTTTTTAAATAGAACCACCATATTTTTTACAGAAATCGATTCCTTACAATATTCTGCATAAAAAGTTATAAGGGTTGGGTGACTAAAAATTGAATAGTTTATGATATTTTGTACTTCAAAAAATATGACATAATTTTACATAAATTATAAAATTTTTTTTATCTCGTAAAATATTCATTTTTCGATTATCTTACCTAAATACTTTTATGCACAAAATAATGAAGAGAATCAATTGGTATAAAAAAGTTATTTTTGAGGAAAATATGTAATTTGCAACTAACAGCTATACATTTTTTCTATGCACCAATTGATTTCCCTCATTATTTTGTACATAAAAGTATTAAAGTGAGATCATCAAATTCTGAAAAAATTCTGAAAAAATATTTGAATATACGTAGAATATGGTACCATATAGGAAATTTTCCTATCACAATAGGATCCATTCGTAAAATAATATTTGTTCCAAACAAAATGAGAATTTCAGCCAAATTTCAACTAAAAACTCAATGATATCCAATTTTTAATTAATTTAATTATTTAATATTACATAAATAATATATTTTTAACAAATAATTCTAAAATAAAAAATTTTTAACTTTTAAGTAAAAGCTTAAAAAAATTAGCAAAAAAAAAAGAAAAGAAGATGGTGCAAACAGTACATGATGTTCCCAAGCGGTCACCCATTTGCTGAAGAAATAATAAAGAAATTAATAATAACAAAGAATTTCAAGATTATTGTAAATAATTTACATTTTAACTTTATAATTTAAGTGTACATTTGATACAAAAAATATATATCATTAAGGAGATCCTAAAGCCGTCTGTTTTACCGATAAAACACAAAGTTGGATTCAAATAAACCACTAATTTTTTTATTAGTTATGCAGATTGGAAAATCCTTTTCCCCAATTAAAGTACTAATAATAACGAACTGCGAACGCTATAATTTCATGTAAAGAAATTTAAAAAAGTTAAAAAATATAATTTTTATTTTTTAGTTCGTTATTTACGTTTTTTTACTTTTTATAGTTCATTATTATTAGTATTTTAGATGTGAAAAAGGATTTTTCAATCTATATAACAAATAAAAAGATTAGAGATCATATCCAACTTCATGTATCGATAAAATGGCTTTAGGATCATCTTAAATTTGATCTTTAGGTCAAGGTCAATGTCATCATCAAGCGATCCCCACTTTAAATCCTACTACTTCTGAATTTAACTTTTTTCTATATCTCACTCCTTCCGAGATATTTTACCAGTACCATACTTTTTCCTCATTCTGTATATTTTTTCCGTCACTTTCAAATATACAGGATGTCCCAACCTTACCGTACCATCCGTTTATGAGAGTCCTATAGTTATTTGGAGACGATTTTTCCTCAGCAAAAATGTCGAGGAAGGTAATCATTTTTTTAATGTTCCCAATTTTTGATATCATGTATCTTTGTAACTAAGCCTTAATTTAAATTCTATTAAAGTAAATTTACCTGAAATTAACTAAAAAATGTAATTTTGATAATTTATTTTCACAAGACTTAGTTTATAAAAAAGGTTTTATTTTCAATCATTTATAACTCGAAAATTATTGGTGCCTGGACATTTTCGCTGAGAGAAAATCGTCTCCAAATCGCCTCAAGAATATCCCATTAACGAATGGTACAGTAAGTCTGGGACACCCTGTATATCAAGTATATATTAGTTTTATAAACGAGCCACTCACCTTGTTCCGTAAAGCCCTGAGTAAATCTCTTACGCTATCGCCTCGATAACTTCTATATTTTCGCAAGTCTGCTGCAACCTCATGATCTATGTGCGATCTCCAATCATCGCGGATCACATGTTTGCTGCAAGTTTCTAAGGATATTAAAGCTGGGCTATCAAGTTGATCCTTTTCCACTCGATCGCTAACATCCTGTCACAAATAAAATATATCCCAGTAATTAATAAAAAATTGTTAGTTATATCAATTATCATAATTACTTTGCTTTTAAGTAAAAATTTTTCAATAAAACATATTTAGCTGTATATATAATATATAATATTCATAGATAAATGGATAGATAGATATATTTATTTGTCCCCTCAGGGTTACAATTATATATATATTTTTTTATCTATTTAGAATTCAAATAAAAGAAAAGTGCCCAAAAATATTAAAACATTTTACATACTTGGAAAAAACTCAAAATCTCTCCTGGATTCCAGAAGATCGGGTAGTTACAAATTGATAAAGCTGGAGGTCTCTCGGCAGGATTTCTGCATATCATCATCTTGATTAATAATAATGCTAATTCTCTATCACTCGAGGATATTCCTTGGAGCGCTGTCATATTAGTCTCTCCACCTGTAAAAACAAATCAAAATAAATAATTGATGATTGATATCCTATATTTGAAAAATGAAGAGTAAGTATATAATGATAAATAAATTGCCATGATATTTTTGTTACTGATAATTTAATAAATAATATTACGAATATATATTGTAAATATATTAATATAATCCTATCTTTGTGCCAAATATAATAATATATATGTAATATATAAAAAGTATATGTGTAATATATAAAAATTGCATTTTCACGATTTTCCTTGGCGTTTGGACAATTTTAAGCTTCATTTTCTAGTTCAGCAGGTCCAAAAAACACAAAGATACATCGGTTTTATACATTCCCCTTATAGACAAATTTTGGCCTTTTTTCAGCATTGTTTTTTCATTGCACTTACAAAGAATATTGGCTTGTCTTCGTAGCGGATCGCCAAAAGGATGTTTGCCGTCAGAGAGGACATAATAAAAAACACAGCCGAGTGAAAAGATATCGACGGCGCATGTTGTTCTTTCTCCATTCAACATTTCAGGTGCTATCCAGCCGTCAGTCCCAGTAATCCCGGATCTCCGCGAAAATGATACGCGCCCAAGCTGAAGTTTCTTGCACAATCCGAAATCCGATATCATCGCACGTACCTCTCCTCGAGGTCCAGGAACAGAGAGCAACACATTGTGAGGTTTAATGTCTCTGTGGACTATATACACAAAAAGAAATTATATAATTATGAATATAATTGTAAATTATAAATAATTATAATTTATCAAATTTATTATAGAATATTTATCATTTATTTGTAATTTATTATCTAGATCTCATAAATTATCTAGTTTAAAAAAATTAATAAATTATCTAAATTTATTATCTAAATAATTTATTATAAAGATTAATAAAGGTAAATTATAAATAATTATAATTTAGAATATTTATCATTTATTTATAACAATAATAAGAATATTAAATCGGCTTTTTTTAATATTAAAAACAATATACAGAGTGTCCGGTAACTAACGGACCAACGATTACAAGTGGATTCTTTGGTCAATTTGGGAACGATTTTTCCTCAGCAAAAATGTCGAAAAAGGTCATCATTTTTTACAACTTTCCAATATTTGTCATTATGTATCTTTATAACTAAGCCTCAAATAAAAATTTTATTATAGTAAACTCTACCTGAAATTAACTGAAGAATGTAATTATGTTAGACTTTTAACTCCAAAACGTTTAGTTTTCAACAAACCCATTTTTTTCAATCGCTTATAACTCGAAAATTATTGACTTTTCAACATTTTGCTAAGGAAAAATCGTCTCCAAATTGGCCAGAGAATCCGCCCTTAATCATTGGTCCGTTAGTTACCGGACACCCTGTATACACCTCCTCCATCTCGGCCAATAGAGCCAAACGCGATGTTATTGCGAAACTTAAGAAAGAAAAATTGAGAATCTGAGAATTTTCTTTCTTAAGTTTCGCAATAATATCGCGTTTGGCTCTATTGGCCGAGATAGAGGAGGTATATATATTTATTTATAATTTATTATCTATATATCTAGATTTATTATCTATATATTCTAAATTATAAATTAATCAATAAAATGTTTAAATTATAAACAATTAAAAGTAATAAAATATTGCTGAAGTTTACATAGACTAACCGATGTCTAATAAATGTAGATGTGCCAATCCGGACGTAGCCTGATACAAAATATTCTTCACAGATATCTTTTCTCTGTCATATCTGCCCGTCACGTAATCTTGTAAAGTAGCTTCGGCCAACTCCAGTGCAATATATCTGAACATACGATCCTCTTCGGTACAGAAATACCTGACTACATTTTCATGCGCATCTGATTCCCTCAACAGCGCCACTTCGCGATCAGCAAAAGTAAAACAATCTGGCAACAGACGTTTCACGGCCACAGCGCGACCGTCGAATTCACCCCTGGATAGAAAGAAGCAAAAAATAAAATAAGAAATTTTTTTGTATAAATAAAAAAGAAAATTAAATAATAAAATAATAAATTTAAAGCAATCGAGATAAATTAGCTATATAAACATTATACAGGGAGTCTATTTTAATTGACCCCCAAAAATATTTTTTTATATCAATCTTTCTCGCAATTTTCGGCATAAAAAGTTATAAGAATGAGATGACCAAAAAAAAATATATATATATATATTTAAAAAAATATAAATGACCTTTAAATGACCTTGAAAAACGTCCTTTAGAAAAAACTCAGTAGCGCCATCTTATGTCTTTCAAATCAAACAACTTTTGTATAAGACTATATTAAACCAAACAACGATATCTCTATATTAAATCAAATAACGATATCTCTATATTAAATCAAACAACTTTTGTACAACACTGTATATTAAAATATTAAACTCACTTGAATACAGAGGTTCCTTCGCAACCTTTGCCAAGAATTTGTTTCGTGTTGAAAATAATTTTTCCCACTTTCACTAAGTCATCTCCAATATCTTCTGGCAGAACAACCGAATCGCCTGATCTACCAGAATGACTCGTGCGACTGCTTTCACGCGAGTTCTTAACAATCAATTTAATAATATATACATTAGTAAAGCTCGTATAAGATTATACATTAAAAGCTGAAATTGAGATTGCATTATGATGAAAGTAATAAATATCTTACCTGTAATAACTGCTGAGATTGCTTCTTATTTCGTGTATACCATATTGTAATCACGCATATTACTAATACAGTCAGAAGCAATATTATAGCATTATTTTCTTGTTGACTGGTCCATACTTTTTTGCACATATTTAATATCATTATGTGCCAATTTTTGTTGCTTTCTAATTGCCCAGTATCATTTGAGACGTCTGACTGCTCAGCAACAGATGACTCTCTTTCAGTGACATTCAACGTTGAAGACTCCAAAATTATCGGATCGGACCGCCCAGTTATTTGAAGGAGTTGCTTTTGTGATCTAAATTCTACAAGTACATTATAATAGTCTAAATTACAAAACGTAAGAAAAGTGCATAATAATTATACATAATAATTATACCTACATATATTATAATTAAATACATTACTTATATGTAATTAAATATATTAAAATATCCATAATTATATTTATATATAATTATAATTATTGATTTTTTCTGAAGAGCGCACTACCTTTGAAGGTCATTTGTTTTTTAAATGAAATCACCATATTGTTTTAAAATAATTCGATTTCTTGTAATTTTTGACATAAAAAGTTATAAGGATAAGATGGTAAATAAATAGTTCACAAGATATTTTATATCTAACTTTGACACTAATAAAAAAAAATATGTAATTTGCAACTAGTAGCTACATTTTTCTTACAAACAACTATTCCTTTTTCCTTACACCAACAGATTCCTTTCATTATTTTATGCATGAAATTTATGGTAAGAGTGTCAAAAAATAAATATTTTACAAGATATTTCATAGTTTATGTACGTTAGTGTCAAATTAAAGTATAAAATATCTCATAAATTATTCATTTTTTGGCCATCTTATCCTTATAACTTTTTAAAATTACAAGAAATCGATTTATATAAAAAAATGATAGTAATTCCATTTTAAAAAATATAAATGACTTTCAAATGACCTTCAAAAGTGCTCTTTGTCCCCCTTCAAATCAAACAACTTTTGTATAAAACATTTTATACAATCAAAAATAAAAGATTTTTGGATGTGGTCGATTAAAATTGGACATCTTGTATATATAGCTATGCTTTGCATCATATTACCTAACAAATTTTTTCTGATGTGTTTGGCATTTTGATAATTATCAAAATTATCTTCATTTATGTATAAAATATAATTTCCTGGCAATTTATTATCATCTGCATGAAGATCAGACGAAGTCAATGATGAACCCTCCAGTAATGAGCGTTCAATGTTGTTTGATATCGTCGTAGACGAATCAGCAAAGGATGGTAATGCATAGGGACCGTGCTGATGCTTTCCAACAAACACTGTAGGGCTAAAACAAGAAAAGATTCAATTATTTATCTTCTTCATTTAACTTTTTCAATATAAAATTATTTCTCCTTAATTATTCAGTAACTTACAATAACGGATAATCATTGCTTGGTTCCATCGTAAACCTCTCTAAGAAAGAGTCAGCGACACTTGTGAAAGGAATTCTCACTAATCCGTCTTTAGTTACAGTGTACATTGCTATCACTGGACTCTTGAGATTTAATTCCCAAAGAATTTTCCATCTCTTATCTAAGGTCACAACACAACCTGTTGAACTTCCAGTAATATGTAACAAATCTGAAAATAAATTTATATTATAAATATATTATTATGTCTTATATTACATAGAACATCCTATTTTAATTAACGCCTTATACTGTGTCATAAATATATTTAATATATTAAATATATTTTATTTTCATATATTTTATTATATTTAATATACTTTACTTTTATTTAATATATTAAATATATTTAATATTTCCATACAAAATAATTTAGGAGAATTTTAAAAATGCATAATTGTTTCACCAAAACTGGTACGTACCATAATTGTCTGTTACATCAGGTTCCATTTCTGCAGCAGAGTAACCATTAAATGTTATAACATTCCATTTTCTGTCTTTATGCTTACTGTCGACCATAATAATGTTATATTCTGTGCGACCCACAAAAATAGCATTCTGCATTTGCGAAGGGCAAGTATTTCCAACATTATTGAAACTTAAAGATTCCCTCATACCGGTTCTTGGGTCAATACTAAACCAGGTGTCTATTTTTCTACCAGTATATAATATACCATCACTACTTCTGCAAGGACTATTGGCCACCAACTCAGGAATGGTAAATGGTAGCTTTTTCAATTCTTCTGTACCTCTGCCAAATAGATAAAGAGAACCGTCTCTAGGATCTGGCAGAAAGATTGGCCTGGAAATAAAAAATAATTAATAATAATTCAGAGTGTTACTTAAAACACAAACAACAATTATAATTTTATCAATAAATATAAACAAATGTCACAAAACTATAAATATTTTATGAAAGTATGAAAGGAGGATGTTAAAAATAAGCTATTTTTGACCCAAAAGCAGAACCTAAATCAATCATTAGAAACTGTTTTTGATAAATTTATAAATTTCATAATTTGATAAATTTGATATATATTCAAAATAAAATCAATTGTATACTTATATATTGGTAAATAAGTAGTATGTGTAGAAAACTTAATGTTTTGATTTACATAATTTACATTACACATACAGGATGTTTACACATATGAAATATGTCACAAATTATGCATTTTAGAAAAAAATGTTTTATGTAAAAGTTGTAGCGCTTAAAAATATATATACTAGTCTTATCAGTTTGACCATAGATGATGATGTCAAGGTCAGAGCAAGATCATCTTAAATTTTTAAATGACTACTATTTTAAAAACGTGTATTCGCTCGTCTATTGATTAAAACAAAATTTAGTATATAAAAAGGCCAACTAATCGAGCATTATTAGATGATATAAACTAAGTATTTATTCTATGTAAGATAATACAAACGTTTCGACCGCACGCAGTCTTCTTCAGTATAGGAATTAAAAGTAGATGATCATGAGTGATTGTAAGTCGGAATTTTATAGCCAAATTAGTGCATGTCGTGTTGAGTCAAATTACAAAACGTCAGTATATTTCTTACGGATTGATCGCGTTATGACAACAATAATTTCTCGCATACTAACGATGAAATCTATGGAATCGGCCAAACATCTCAATAGAACGATCAATCCGTAAGAAATATACTGACGTTTTGTAATTTGACTTAACACGACATGCACTAATTCGGCGATAAAATTGCGACTTAACACGACATGCACTAATTCGGCGATAAAATTGCGACTTAACACGACATGCACTAATTCGGCGATAAAATTGCGACTTACAATCACTTATGATCATCTACTTTTAATTCCTTTACTGAAGAAGACCGCGTGCGGTCGAAACGTTTGTATTATCTTATATAGAATAAATACTTAGTTTATATCATCTAATAATGCTCGATTAGTTGGCTTTTTTATATACTAGACTACTATTTTTTTTTTATATTAATCGATTTCTCGTAATATTCTGGATAAAAAGTTATATGGGTAAAATTGTCAAAAAGTGAATATTTTATGATATTTGATATTTTTATTTTACATAATCTTACACACACATAAACTATGAAATTTCATGTAAAATATTCACTTTTGGACCATTTTGCCCTTATAACTTTTTATGCAGAATATTGTAAGAAATCGATTTATATTTTTAAAAATGTAGTGATTTAATTTAAAAAATTCAAAATCTTGTCCTGACATTGGCATCGCCATTTATGATCAAACTGATTAGATTAGTAAATAGATATTTTTAAACATTACAACTTTGGTTTGAAACATTTTTTTCTAAAATGCGGTTTATGAAATATTCGATCATTTCCAGACTTTTGACACATCCTGTATGTATAACATAAATTATGTAAATGAAGACATTAAATTCTTTACATATACTACTTATGTTTCAATATTAAGTGTATAATTGATTTTATTTTGAAGATATATCAAGAATATAAAGCTTAAAAATCTTTATATAACTTTCAATTGATAATAAATTTTGATTTTTATAACTTTCTCCGGACCTGACAGATAAATATTTAATTGTTTTTTTCTGCTTCTAGAAGATCCCAAAAACAGTTTCCAATGATTAATTTATGTTCCGCTTTTGGGCAAAAAATGGCTTATTTTTAACATCCTCCTTTCTAATCATCTTATATCATTATGCATTATGTAATTTATATAAAGAAAAACATACATTTCAGGTTCTGATAGATTCAAAGGCACTTTGACTACTGGTTCTGCAAAATCAAATGAAACATAGTTAAAACATGGGTGAAAACAATTAATTTCCTGATGTAATCGAACAAAACAATTACCATCATGATGCTTCCAACGTATTTCCCCGGATTGCTGACTAACACCAACAAACGATCCTTCGAGAGTAAAAAACACAAGAAGTGTATCATTTTGTTCCGCCACCAGTTCGGTGTTAGGACTCTAATAACAAATATTCAAGTCAAATTTTAATTGCAACAGCAAATAACAAATATTCAAGTCAAATTTTAATTGCATCAGCAAATAATTATAGTAATTATAGTATCAGTAATAATTATACATAAATCTATCTAAAAAATGAATGAATTTTTTATGAATTTAATATAAGCAATTTTTTTTCATATTTATGAGAAAATAATAAAGATCATGTAAATTATTTTTTTATTTTTAATAGTTTTTGACAAAATTTCATACTAACAGAACATTCTCTTTTTAAATATAACAAGTATGCTATTGAATTTGTTAACTCAAATATGTTGAGTTGATTGCAAAGTTAAGATTGTTTCATCAAGAATTGTACGTACTCAGATCGTTCACATTTTTTTCTTCTATGTATATTACTGTTTCGTTTAACAAATTATGTATCATTTTTCAGTTTATACTTGAAAAGGACCACAACTATATAGTTGAAACGTTATAATTTCTAATTAATAAACAATAATTTGGCTAGTTTGGTCTATTAATTTAGAAATTGATCCTTTGAATAATTGACTAGCGATATTAATATATTTAATTTATAAAAAATTACATTACGTACATCCAAGTTGGGTTGTCCCACAATAAATGCAAACATTGACAGACTAAGAAGCAGCCAAATGTTCATCATCATGAAGAACATCTATGAATATCTTTGATCATACAATATGTGTGTAAATAAGTACAGCACTGTCAGAATGTGTCAATACTTTCTTCTGCGTAACACTTGTAATATGCATATACCATTTAATGCAATTGTTACATCCTCTTTCTCCAGAATGCAAAAAAATGGGAAAAAAACACATTGTACACTAACGGTGCTTATTTTTTTTTCTTTCAGATAAGAATGGAGCACAATGATCATCCTGTAAAAATGATTGTTATAGAAGACATTTAGACAAATTTTATTACAAATGTCGAATGTACCTGAAGCGAGGATAAAATCATCTTAATAAATAAATTTCATCCATTCTCAATTGGCATCTTCAGCTTCCAAGAGATTCAACAATCAATGAAAGCTGTTTCATTGTCGTACATACGAAATTATACGCAAATTGTGGAATATTTTATATAGACACGTGTCTCATACACATATATTTTCTATATATATATAATATATGTAAATAATTTACGCATGCGCGGAAAACAAATCCGAAAATCCCTAGCGATCGAGTGCAATTGGTTCTTACTAGAGTCCCTAGAAATAATTAAAAATAACAATAAAAAATAAACAAGGTTGGAAAATAACAAGGAACACACACTTTTGCATAAGCTGTCACGTCCGAGTGACCTTCTTTCCTCCTCTATTACTCTAAGTCTAAGACGAAAGGGTTAGCTCTCTATTTATTTAGGGCAATCTGCATGCACCGACTATACTCTGGGTGCGCCGAGAGCTGGAACTGACTTTTCGGATCTGGGGAATTTTAGGAATAGAGAATGTTTAGTAGGAATATATAATATCGTCTAGGAAAATTAATATTAGTTCAAAATCGTATAAAGTATGTTATTAATAAACAAAGTAATAGTCTATTATCACGGATTTGAACATTTAGAATAATCGGTAAATAATCGCGAGTTGAGATTATTAAAGATTTATAGCGTTTTCGATTGGGAAAAGTTAGTGCGCACTCAGTTCACACGAACACTGGACAAGTTCCATGGGTTGCACTGAATAGTGCAGGTGAAAAAGAACACGCCGAAATTTTCAGTGCCACTTGAGTTGACTAGATTCCGGGAAGAACGAAAAAGTAACCTCGACATCTTGTGTTCAGTTAAGGGTCGACAGGTCGGTCGGCCAAACTCCGAATTGATGTTGGAGACCTCGCGCGGTGACAACGCGAAACTCCGATTTCAGTGTTGCCAACGCCGAGAAACCAATTCTCGGGTTTTATGTAGTGGTGCATGTCTGTACACGTACATACACCATTGCATTGCTCACGCGGACGCACCGTAGAGAGACAAGGACCGATAATCACGTGTTCTCCTTGTTCCTCTACCGTGCCGGTATACGCGAGATGCCGCCTGAAAATGCTTTCTGGCCTTCCGTAGCAGAAGGCAGTAGCGTAGCAAGGCTAATAAGTACCTACTTTTTATAAATTTTATATATCCTTATGCACATATGTGCGTATATATATATATATATATATATATATATATATATATATTATATAAGGGATATGTTGATTATTCTTGATTTCTTTTTGATTATTGATGCTATTGTATAATTTGCTCCAATAACTTATAACGTGAAAGAACGTACCGTTGAGTAATATATAATCAATGCAAGGATGTTCAGTATATCATCCAGTAAATTAGAGTTCAAATATATCAATATCAATTTTTTTATAATACAATATATATATATATATATATATATATATTGGAATATAGAAAAATGATAAAATATATTTCGGCGATTTAAAAATTTTTAATATATTGAAAATATTTTACTACATATATATAAGTGTAAAATAATTCAGAAAATAAATTTAATAAAAATCTACATACCAGCTGTGTGCATGTGTGCAATTGATTTATTGAAATTTATTTACGGAAGTATTTTGCATTTATATATTTATAGTGTGTGTAGTTGTAAAATGATTAAAATATTTTCAATATCAAATTTTTAAGTTTATCGCCTATATAAAAAATATATTTCTATGATTTTCTATATTCTAATATATTATAAAAAAATTGATATTGATATATTTGAACTCAAGTTTTTTACGTGATTAAATATTCTTGCATTGAGCCATCATACGTTACTCGTAAGTTCTTTCATATCTGTATATATATATATATATATATATATATATATATATACACTTATATATATATATTATATATATATAATATTTCATTTATTTATAAAATACATTTTTAATTCATATTCAACCTGAATGATATTTTCTATATGTTTATGCTATCCTCCGATCTATCCCTAACAAATTAGGAGGTGTAATTGCATTATTATCATCAATTATTATCTTATATTTTTTACCTCTAATTTCTATAAAATTTAATTCATTATCATTTTATCCTTTAAATCAATATTTATTTTGAATTTTCATTAATATTTTTATTCTATTAACATGAGCAGGAGCTCAACCTTTTATCATTATTAGACAAATTTTATCATTATGTTACTTTCTTTATTTTATCTTATTACCTTTCCTAATAAAAATTTGAGATTTAATTATTTTTAAATAAATATTTTAAAATTTATTATTATAAATAAATTTAAAATATTAAAATAATTATATTTAATATTTAAATTTTTTATAAATTACTATTAAATTAAGTTAATAATCTTGAATTTAAGTTTATGTTTTGAAAACATATTAAAGAAATTTTAATTTTCTATTAACTTTTAAACATTTAATTTTTTTTACTAAATTATTATTAATAATATAAATTTAAATCCAAAAATTAATAAAATATAAACCAAAATTATTGGTAAAATAATTTTCCAACATAAATATATTAATTTATCATATTGTATTCGAGGAAGTATTCCATGTATAAAAATTACTATTCTACATAAAATATTAATTAAAATAAAAGTTAAAATTATTGAATATTTTAATAAATTCCTAAATATATAAATTCTAATTAATCTAAAAAAATAATTATTCCATATTCAGATAAAAAAATTAATGTAAACCCACCCCTAAAATATTCAATATTAAATCATCTGACTCACTTTCGATAAAATCTATAGGACTTCGATTTAATTCAGCTAAAATCCTAATAAACACTATAATAAACAAAGGATATAAAACTACTATATATCATAAATAAAATTGATAATTAATAAAATCAAAAAAAGAATATCTCTCTCTTATTAATATAATAACTAAAATAATTAAAATAAATCTTACTTCATATGATAATATTTGTGAAACTGATCGTATTGCTCCTATTATTGAATAAATCGAATTAGCTGATCATCCCATAAAAATTATAACATACCCTCTAATAGTTATAAAAACAATTATTAATAAAATAGAATAATTTAAAAAATAAATATTAGTAATGTAAGGAAATACTAATCATATTATTATTAAAACAAATCTAATTATAGGACATAAATAAAAAAATTATAATTAGATTTATATACATAAAATAATTCTTTATTAAGTAATTTAATAGCATCACTAAAAGATTGAAATAATCCTATAAATCCCACCTTATTAGGTTCTTTACGAATTTGTACATATCTTAAAATTTTTCGTTCCAATAAAGTTAAAAAAGCTACCCCAACTAATATAATTAATAACAAAATTAACAATCTTAATATATTTAACGCACTATAAAAATATAATCTTAAATTTTGACAAATTATTACTTGTATAACTTTTTTCTATTATACATCATTAAAATTCTAAATTTAATACACTTAAATTTTGCCAAAGTAATTTTATTTATTTACATATATTTGATCAATTAAATTTATTCATTAAAAAAAATATAATTTAAAAAAAAGTCCTTTTGTACAAAATTTTCTTAATTTTATTATAGATAGAAACCGATCTGGCTTACACCGATCTGAACTCAAATCATGTAAAATTTTATTAGTCGAACAGACTAAAATATTAAACTTCTTTATTTAATTTTTATTTTAATTCAACATCGAGGTCGCAATCATTTTTATTAATATGATCTTTCTAAAAATATTACGCTATTATCCCTAAGGTAATTAATTTTTATAATTATTATAAAAAAAAATTTTCTTAATTTAATAATCAATCCTTTATAAAAATTTCATTAATTAATGTTAAAATTATCTTTAAATTAAAGTTCATTTTATTTAATTATCCTCCCAATAAAATATAATCATTAAAATAAAATTTATTTCCTTAAATAAAAAAATTATATTAATTTAATAGGGTCTTCTCGTCCCATAATTTCTTTTAAGAATTTTAACTTAAAATTTAAATTTTAAATCTACAAATTAAAACAGCTTTAATCAATTCCTTCATTCCAGTTTTCATTTAAAAAACAATTGATTATGCTACCTTTGCACCGTCAATATACTGCGGCTATTTAAAAATCACTGAGCAGAAATAATTTTAAATTATTATCAAAAAACCATGTTTTTGTTAAACAAGTAAATTAATGAAAATTAATGTGTATATGCATTACAATATATTCAATACAATATTCTCTTAATTTGAACGAAAATTATAAATAACTTATGCGTAACATATATTTTTGGACTCCTAAATAAAAAATATATTATATTATTTGCAAAAAATAAGATGAAATATTTTTTATTCGAATAGTCTCAACTGCTCTTTTAGCTGAATGTTTAGAAGCAATGAAAAAAATCGAGGATCTACGAAAAATTTAAGTACATTTCTAAGATTTTTTTATATGATATAAAAAAAATATATGGTATATAAATTGATTTTTTAATTTTTTTATTAATTTTTAATTACACACACACACACACAAATAGATTCTTATTATTTAAAATAGTTTTTATTTTTGTTCTTTATTTACATATGCATACATATACAAAAAAAAAAATAATATGATAGCCTTTTTGCTGACATTATCTCTCAATATTTGCATCCGTGTGCTCACGTATTAGTTTTTGTACCTACATGGACGCTACTACATATGCGATGTAAGAGAGACAAAGATGGAATGATGCTCTCTCCTTGTCAAGCAGTCAGCATGTTACCACAGAAATTTCCCCTGCTCCTTATGAATCTAGTGAGAATCTTATCGTCCAGATATTTCATAAAATAAGTGACATAACTTCGTGAATTTTTTTTAATATATTCTTTATATAATAAAGCAGTCCTCTAAAAGGCCGGATTTTACATTTTCGCTCTTAAAATTTATAATAAATAAAATACGGACTCGCGGCTAACCCAACCTTACCCGTTCCTAGCTGTGCATTCCCCCAAGTTTATTAAAATTTTTATTTTTATCTTTTTTTCATAAAATAGCTCTTTAGAGGACTACAAATGAGCTTACTGATTAAGAATATCCTAAATTTAATAAGATTCATTCAATATTTTCGCTAATATCTGGAAAATAAGAATCCGTAATTCCCGGCCGGCCGATAGGCGTCTCCACCATGTCGCCTGTCGACCCTTAAGTAATGATTTTTATTATATGTAATTAATATAGAAGATGATCAAGAATATCACGTATGACAAATATAAAATTATTATTATTCAGTATAAAAATGCTATTACATTAAGTACATTAATTATATTTTAAAAAAGGGTATAGGTTCGATGTTTATATAAAAAGATATAACACTTACGGTGTCATTATCTATTTTTTTCACACATTCTACATAATTTACAGTTTTTGAAATATTCTTCTAGTTCGAAGAGTTGTAATTATTTCTTCTTGCTCGCTTGAACTAGAAGAAGATTCCAAAAATGTCTCCAAAATATTAAAGAGAGCCAAATCCGAATTGCTCATTATGTCGAATTTTCGTTCAAAAGAATGCCCTACTGCTTGCATGCATC